AGGTACTTAATTTTCCAAAGACCTTAAGTTCATGGTACGAATAATAAAATAGTTCATTCGTCAAGAGCAGGTAAAATGGAACAAGATGGCTTTTCTTATTTCCCACTTCCCGTTGTGGTGATTATATATATATATATATATATATATATATATATATATATATATATATATATATATATATATATATATATATATATTTATTTTTTTTTTTTGCTTAAAGAACTTCAGTTGAAGTTCTGACTAAATTATTCTACACGGATTTACTTAAAGGGATAACAACCATTCGAATCAGATCTATATTTCACAATAAATACATTGTAAACTACTCATAAAAAATATAATATATAATATATTTTGGAGAAGCGAGAACGAGGCCAAGGAGGAGACAACGACCGTAAGAGAGCTCCTAGAATTTCTTACAAATTCAAACAATCGGTAAGAAATATTACAGCTATGGATACATAAATGTGTGAATACTAACTGTCTCCTGCGAATGGAAGCTGTTTAGCTGACTTGGTTTTTGTCAACAAGCTTTATTTTGACATTGATCATAACGTATACCATAACTATACAACTGACAATAGATCGTGACAAGTGCGCTTCAATACAGGTGCATCGGTGAGTACTGCTCACCGGATAAACAATAGTTTCAAGTCAGCCTTATTGCCTCGAAAACACATATCTCTCTATATATATATCACAATGAGCTCAAATAATAAATCAAAATACTTTGATACGATCAAAGATTCAAAGAGCTCTATGACAGACCGAATGAAAACCACAGCTGACAAGAAATCCACCAGTCAGCCAGCAAAAAGATCCCATAGTGAGGTTTCTAACACAAGTACAGAAGAAACATCTTTGATTTTGATAAAGCTAGACGAAATAGAATCTGAAATCAAAAATACTGTAAAAACAAATGATCTAAAAGATATTGTGCAAGAAATGGTCACGGAAACTGTCACTAAACTTTTACTTAATTTCAAAGACGAAATCGGGACAAATCTTGAAAAATTAGAAGACAAGCATAAATTAGATATTGGAGAGCTAAGGGAAAGAATCGATTCACTGGAATTGGAAAATGACGCTCTCCGAGAACAGCTAGCGGGAAAAGAAAAGTCTCTCAGAAAGCTCACGGAAACAGTGGAGCAAGCAAACTATGCGTCAAACAATGCTATCAAAATGGCGAACTATAATGAACAATATTCCCGGAAAAATAACATAAAAATCTACGGGGTGATAGAGAAGGAACATGAAAACACTCGGGATGTTGTGTGCAAGGTGCTTAAGGAACAGGGAGAAGTACAGATAACGGCTGATGACATCACGGCGGTGCACAGAATTCCCGGTCGGCAAGGGTCTCCCCGGCCAATTCTAATGCATGTTAAAAACACGGAAATCAAGGTACGTATAATGCGGAGTAGATCTACCTTGAAAAGGCATGACAAAGGTGTTCGGCTGGCTGACGATATTACCAAGCTAAACGCTCAATTACTGCAGCGCCTAAAGGAAAACGAGCAAATTGAACAGTCGTGGTTTTATAATGGGAGCGTGTACGGTAAAGTGAAACACACTGGCCAGAGAATGAGATTTTCTATTGACGATGACATTGACAAGAAAGTTAAAATAAGAAAATAAAACATTAAACCAAATATATTTTGATTAAAAACCAATATATGATGAGTTACAT